TCTCTCTCTCTCTCTCTCTCTCTCTCTCTCTCTCTCTCTCTCTCTCTCTCTCTCTCTCTCTCTCCAGTTCCCACATACACACCCTTTCTTCCTATCCAGGCCTGGAGGGTATTTTCTTGGGCTCAGCTTTCCCTACCTCACATGACAGTCGTTATTTCTATTCTGGAGGTTCAGTGTGCTCCTATCTGTCTGGGAAGTTTAAGTTAAAACTGACTGGCTTAGAGAGCATTTAAACCTGGTAACATTAGGACAGCATTACATGTCAGGACATTAAACCATCTCTCTCCCTCATTGTGGTTTTTACACTGATTAAGCACTCAGCCTCCCACTTTTTGTAAGTTTTATCTTCATTGCCCAAGTCGAGATCCAAGGAAGGACCTGCCACACCACTGCAGTTCAGACTCAACTTCATGATGAAGGAAAGCAAGGCATGTTTATAAAAAACATAAATAATTAAAGGCTTAGGAAAACAATTTAAATGAGAGCTTTAAAAAACACTTGTTAAAATTTCAAAAACTATTGTACTAGTGTTGAACCTCCAGTTGGTTCTAGTGGGAAAAAGTATCCTACATAGACTTTGAAAGGCATCAAATATGCCTTCTTGAGAAAAACAAGGGAGGCGTCAGCTAGTAGCTGTCCTTGTAGGAGCAATGATTTGTTATGCATCGCTGACACCTTGGGTACAACGGGGAACAGAAGACTGAGATGTATAAAACAAACATAAGCATGGAATTTTTTAATTTAAAATTTTATTTTCTCATTATTTGTAAAAGTACAGGAATAAATAAATGTCTCTACTTCAAGACATGAGAAATCAAGACAAAATAATTGCTAGCCAAGGCACTGTGCCTTACAAAGAAGACATAAAATGTCCAAGAGATATTCACATTACAGTTATTAAAAAGTCAACATCAGAAATACTGCTCACATAGTGTAAAAAAAAACTGAAAAATAAATAACAGCTATTCTATTCTTCTCAATACTTACAAAATTGATGTGTACATGCACAATCCTACCTTGAAAGTGATCTGACTGCATGTCTGTGTCCCCCCCATTTGTCCCCAGCCTCTATCATAGGAGAGGCATGATGTAGCTGGCACCTAACTCACTCGCTTAGACAGTAATGAGTGAAAAGATTTAAAAATCCACCATCTTCCAACTACGTAAATTAAACAACTTTGACTTAGCACATTAAAATGACCTTTTAAAATATCACAGTGAATTGCCAAACACATTGATATCTTTAGATATCACAACAAACATAACATTATCTGAGAATTGAAAAATAAATAAATAAATACATATATAAATAAATAATTAAGCAGGGAGACACATCAGGAACAATCCAGGCTTCCCGGTTGCTGTGCGTTTTCTTTCTTCTCCTTCAGGTACAGCAGCCCATACTCCGATTCTCCCCAGGTCAGTTGGCCTTGCCTCTGTGATGAGAAAATGCGTGCTGTTAGTAGGTATTCGAAAGACTGGTGGCAGAGCTCACTTCTTTCACCTTCTTCATCTGGACCTTGTCTGATTCTCCCAGTGCAGTCACTTCTCATCTCCCCCCAAGAGATTGTTACCTAAGCCTGTCTAGCAATAAACATTCTGGATGCTTTGAAACTACAGTAGGAGAGTTGGGCTTCCGATGGTACTAGCTTCACACCGTCCGAATGAGATGAAGAATAAAACTATAAAGACATGGCTTTCCATGTAGAGTAAACACGACTAGCGCCCGTTATTGTTTCGTTTAAGACAGGACAAGAGGGAGAGTCTACACTTGAGCTTCAAAAATGGTCTCACTGCAAAACCTCTGTTGTTCATCAAGAAGCCTCAAAGGAACACGGTGACCCAAACCAGGAGTTACACTTTACAGCTCAAAGACATGGAAAAGTCAGGGATAAGTACTGTATCTTAGTAGACAAGAGGCTTGGCAATGCCACTAGTCAATTCTACTTAATTCTTAGGGGTCCACACATCAACCATCCATTAGAGTAGGGCTTTTGAGTGTGTAGATGGTAGAAGCAGGTCGTATCTTTCTCACGCTAGAGCAAACTGATGATTACGAGGCAGAGTTAACTATAAAAATAATAATCCAGGTATCTGGTCTGTAGTTAACCTTGATTTTCCCCTGATAAATTTTCAGGAATCAGACCCCAGTACTACGACCAAGACTCCAGTCAAGTGGAAGCACAACTCAGGACTCACTTGTTCAGTATCTTTTGGATGATCTTCCGAACCAAGGGGGCTTCAGGGTCGAGGCAAACTTCCTGACCATCCTTGAGAGTGGCTCTGCAGAGAGAAAGGAGGACCCTTATAAGACCTGAGGTTCCGCTGAATGAGCATGGGGTTGTAAGGGGGTCTGGGCGACTCTGGCAGCGGCAGAGGTTGCCTGGGGAGACACTCACATGACTTCCGTCTGGGTGCAGTGGGGTCCTGGGGGCGTCACCTTCAAGCTCTGAATGGTCTTGAAATCGATCCTTGATATGGTCCTGGGGCACTGACAGCGCAGCTCAGTGGCCAAAACCGCTCCTGTGGGAAAAGACACTGGGTCAGCGGAACTGTGGGCGGCTGCGCCCACCTGAGGCTCCTCCAGGGATGGCAGCCGCGGGTCCCACCTGTAGCCTGGCGGCTGGTGGCCAGGAGCAGCAGCAGCATCAGAGTGGCGCAGAGGAGGAGTGGACGGGTGGCTGGGGCCATGGCGCTGAGAAAGGAGTGTGGTTGGAGTCTGGAGTGCAGGAGCTGCCTGGAGACTCAGTGGTGCGATCTGAGGTTTTGGAGCCCCGCGAGCCCTTTTTATGCACGGTGGCTGGAAAAGCCCGAACCGAACCCCCGGGCTGGGGAAATTCCCGGAGCTTAGGGTCTCTGCATCAGGAAGAAGGACAGCGCCCCGCCCCTCAGCTGAGTGGGTTGAGGACACCCGCAAGCGCGTGCTGCGTGCCTCATCCTAATGCCCTTCCCTGAGGGACCCTGGGATGTCCCTCCCCAAACCCTCAAGAGGAAGGAAGTGACCTCTGAGCTGCAGTGACCACCTGATAGAGATAGTGGTCACCCAGTGACTTCTCACAGGGATGATGTCATCAGTCAGTGGAGACATAATAGCTGTGGGGAACTTTAGTCATTAGGACTGGAGGAATTAAGGAGGGGGGGGGGCTTCTCTGTTCGTTGCCTATTCATGGATATTTCTAGAATAAATGAAGATTTTACCTACATCTGCATAAGTACACTCTTGAAATATATAGTCATCTCAAGCTACACATTAGAGTAGTTTGTTCCTGATGTGTAACAAGCCCGAATAAATTAGATTTGTGTCATATCCTTCCACGGGGGTTGGGGAAAAAGATGTGTCAAAAGCTTAACTCATGCTTAACCGAGGACACAGTGTTGTAATCTCCGAGACACTTCCCCTGTGAAATGCTGGAACTTCCGAGGCTTGAGTGTGCCCATGAGCACCAACCACATCGGGTGTAAGAGATCTCCGTGAATTCAGGAAATTAAAGACCTGGTGGTTTCCTGGAGCATCTGGGGCGGGCAGTGCTCTGAGGACTCTCAAGTACACAGTGAAGTCTCCAAAGTCAGTGCTGACGTAAAAACGAAGTAGAGTCTTTCATATGTACATGTAGCAAAAACATGCACCTGTGAAATACCTAAGTGCTAGGTTACAATCTCATTCCTCGTGTGTGTGTGTGTGTGTGTGTGTGTGTGTGTGTGTGTGTGTGATTGACACAAATCCCTCTTTTTCTTCCCCCATGGCTTCTTTTTAAAATTATTTTATGTTCATTGGTGTTTGACCTGCATGTATGTCTGTGTGGGGGTGTCGGAAGCCCTGGAACTGGAGTTACAGACAGGTGTGAACTGCCATGTGAGTGTTGAGGATGGAACCCAGATCCTCCAGAAGAACAGCCAGTGCTCTTAACCAGGAACCATCTCTGCAAACCCCATTTCATTTCTGCTTTCTAGGGTTTTCATGACCCAGGGATTTGATTTCCCTAGCAAGAGCATGTTTTGCTTTCACTGACTGTGATAAGCTGTTGTAAATGCTCACCTCTGGCCTTTGTCATTCACTAGCTCATTTCCTCACACTGGGTTTTAATTCTTAGTCAGATAACTTGCAGTTTTAAATGGTTTGGGTGTGGGTCTGGGTACAGTTCTCTGAGGGCTGTGCAGATATCTTGCAGAGAGGTGTGGAGAGGGCAGCCAGAGGCAGGTTGATGCTCAGAGCTGCCAGGGAGAAAGTTTTGTGCCACTAGTGACAAGGACATGGAATTCTACCCCCTGCTGCTGCTGCTGCTGCTGCTGCTGCTGCTGCTGCTGCTGCTGCTGCTCTAGTTTCTTGTCTCCAAAATGCACATGATGGTGGTAACTACCTCAAAATGTTAAGATGAATAAATGTTAATGTTTGTATGAAACAGCAGTGTATATTAAATGCTAAAATTGTAAATAAAAAATGCCTTTGTCTCCATATTGCTAAAAACAAAACTCACCTAGGAATATTTTTTTTCCTTATACACCCACAAAAAAAGAATTCTTTAAAAACAAAAACATTTTTTTGTTATTTTTTTCTTCTTAGGAAATCATTTAGAGCAGAAAGTGATGATACGTACTTTTAATCCCAGCACTTAGGAGACAGAGGCAGGCAGGGCTATGTGAGCCCCAGAACACCCAGATCTGTATAATGAGACTCTGTCTCAAGAAAAAAGAATTTAGGATGAGTCCCTTATTTAACTTAACTAGTTTTAGTAATTAAAACTACAAACTGTAAATAAAAGTCATCTCAATTATTAGGAAACATTATAAATAATTAGATGTTTCCTGAGATAAGTGATTTATAAGATCCAGAAGTTTGTTTTAATGTTTATATGTCATGGCTTAACTTCAACTCTCCTAATGTTTAAAACTGATGGGCTGGTATAGAATCTCTAAGGTATTTGTTGTTGTTTACTCACAGTAAGACATGTGGTGTATTTAATTTAACAAAATATGTATCCTTTCTCTCCCTATCCCCCACCCATCAATATATCTCCTCTTCAAAATTAAAGCCAGTGGAAAGTGGAGTTTCCTAGAAGGCATTTTAGTCCTAGGAATTTTATTTGGTTTTTATTTTCTTAGATAAAACTCACAGACTCTGTCAACCTAATTTGAGCACTTGTTCAGGTTTTAATAACTGAAATATTTGTCTTCAGTATTAGCAGGATGCTGTTCAGTCTGTTCGTCTCCTTACGGTGATGTTAGAAAACAGAAAATATCTGCTGTAAGGATTCCAGATGTAATCTGATACGTTGCATAAGCAAACACTCAGAGAGAATAAAGCACAAGGCTCCTATGGTAGTTGCCAAGTGTAAAAATGTTTCAAGAAGCAATTGCTAAATATATGCCTGCAGCTGTGTAGTAAAACAACAGTTGCTTACAAAATGAGATACTGACGGTTTTCCTTTTTACACAGTGTCAGTCTTCATAGTCAATCCCTAGCCTTTGGCTTGCTGATTTTTTTGTTTGTTTTTTTGTTTTGTTTTGTTTTGTTTTGTTTTTGTTTTTGTTTTTAAACTCTAAAGAAAAATGGCATTCTACCAAAATAATGCAATTCTTTTTGAAGTGTTAAGCATCATCTCCAGCCAGTTACACTTTGTATGAGTAGAGTGACAAATTCTATGCCCGGACTTTAAAGTCACACTAGCACCAATTTGAAGGGGATGGAATCATCACTACACGTTAGTTTATGATCCTTTCACTATTTAACACACTTACTGTGTCTTTCCATTTTAATGAGGACCACATGGTAGAGCTTTTACATCCGGAGCTGTGTTCACCCTGAGCATGCATGCAGCTGCAGGAACCGTCTAGTGGTCAGTGCTGCTCTTCCTGCTTACCACCAGCAATCAAGATGTCTCAACTGCCAGACCTCTTCTATTGCAATTAGTGCTTCCAGGATAATGGGAGAATCTGGCTGAGGACAGAATGATGATATCTTTATGCTGCATGAAATCCCTGGACCCAGGGATGGAGAGATGGCCCAGGAGTTAAGAGCCCTTGCTGCTTTTGCAGAGGAGCCAGGTTTGGTACCCAGGACCCACGTGGCAGCTGACTCTGTAACACTAGATCTAGGGAGTTCAGTGCCCTAGAACTGGCCTCTGTGGGTACCAAGCATGCATGTGATACTCGTATATACATTTAGGCAAACACTCATACACGTAAAATAAAAAGGGATAACTAAGACATCCCTAGACCTCTCAATTTATTCAATGGGTACATCTCTGGTGTATTTCTTCTTTATGCCTGACTTAGGCTTCTCCTGTTTACCTGTGATGGCAGAGCCCCAACTTTCTTTTGGAAACCAGGACTCTGTCTTGCAGTCCTTGCTATCTCTCTTTCTTCCCAGTATTGGTTCATGACAAGCGACCCTACCCCACAGCTCTGGGAGTAAGCTGACAGCCCCACAGAGTATTGCCAGTTCTTTGTGTCCGAGTCTACACATCCTAGATGCCTTGGTAAATTCACCAGCGGGCAAATGACATAATCTTGTCCATGTCCAGAAAAATTCCCTCGAGTCCTTCTCATCAGGAAATGATAAAAACCCAAACAAAACAGGTCTTTACTTCCTGCTGAGTTGCAGCTGGCAGAACAGAAGCTTGGGGCTTTGCCAGGACATGGGAGAGGCTGCCCGAAGCTGAGCCAGTAGGGAGAAAAGGCATCTTGCTTGAGTGAGAAGAGTCACCAGGTATAACCTTTGATCTTGGAGACTCAGTCCTCCACCCGCTCACCTGTCTTTTGGTATCATGGGAAAATGAAATGATTCTCGTTTTCATTCAGTCCATTTTCACGTGGAGTTATATGTTACTGATTCTACTTACTGATAGATTTTCTATCAAGACGGACATTTCAGCTTGACTTTAAACTTTCTTCTTTCTCCTTTGGTCTCAGCATTTTCAACACCATTTACCCAGATTTATAATGTGGGAATGAGATTAGTTGCTTTGGGCACCAAGAGAATTGAGAGACCCTACAACCCTTGAACTCTTATTGTAACAAAGGAGATAAACAAGTAAGGTGGAAGATATCCTGATAAGCTGCGTGAGATGCACTCAAGGTGTTTGGAGAAAAGCGGTAGCTAACACAGTTCTCTCGGTGGCTTTGTGAACACTGTCAGGCATGCTTTCATGGAGGACATGCTCACTTCTGACAGTTTTAAAGAGGTTTTTACAGGAAAAGGAAATAACCCCGAGAGAAGGGAAACCTCCTTGAGGGAGAGGATAGAACAAACAAGGGTGTGTTTGGAAGACATTTACAAGTAGTAGAGGCAGTAAATGATGATCACAATATGATTTGTTGTATGTTTTTGCTTTTTTGGGGGACCAGCCACCTACCTCCCAAATAAACCACACACGGAGGCTTATGCTTATTTATAAATGTCCAGCCTTAGCTTGGCTTATTTCTAGCAATCTTTCCTTAACTTTGAATTATCCCCTTTATCTTTTGCCTCTGGATGTTTACCTTTTCTTACTTCTGTAATCTTACTTTAAATCTTACTCTGTAACTGGCTATGTAGCTGGGTGGCTGGCCCCTGATGTCCTCCTCCTTCTCTCACTCCTAGATCTCTCCTCTCCCAGATTTCTCCTTCTACTAATTTTTTCTGCCTGCCAGCCCCTCCCATTCTTTCTCCTGCCTTGCTATTGGCTGTTTAGCTCTTTATTAGACCATCAAGTGTTCTAGACAGGCACAGTAACACAGCTTCACAGAGTTAAACAAATGCAACATAAACAAAAGTAACACACCTTAAAAATAATATTCCCCAACAGTGATCCCCTCCCCTGGGTCCTTTAGGAATTGAGACTGAAGAGATCAAGAACCTGTATGAACGGTGTTTCAGATTCATTGTGATTTTTGACCAGGACTCAGTAAATCAATACGCTATGCCTTTCAGTCTTATTGTACCCAGAGACTTTCCCCAAAGTG